GAAGACAGCCTGGTCTACACAGTGAGTTCCAGGACAGACAGGGCTACACAAAAGAAACCCTGTCTCAGAAAAAAAAGTCAGTTCTCTTGGCTGGAAAATGGAAACAGTGAATATAATCCATAGCAGAAGTGTCTATGTCCTCATCATAAGGTGAGTAATGTAGCTTATCCAGTAAGGGGCTTGGTTTAAAGTTTGACAACCTGAGTTCAATACCCAGTACCCACATGATGGAAACTCTCCCCCGCTCTCTCTCTCTCTCTCTCTCTCTCTCTCTCTCTCTCTCTCACACACACACACACACACACACACACACTTATATCAAATATAATTTTAAAAAATGAAATATTCATTGCAGGAACACTCTGGTGAAGCAAAGACTATTTCTTTATTTGTATACCAAAATAAATAATAATTGGGTTTTTTCCTCTTTTTTTCCTTTCAAGAGGTAATGGGGATTGAATCAAAGGTCTCGTGCATTCGAGCTAAGACATGCACTCTGCAACCAAGCTATGCCCCTATTAACCTTTTTTCTACCTCTTTAGTGTTAAGATTACACCCATAGCTGGGGACTGAACGCCCAGCCTCTTGATTGCTAAGCAAGTACCCTAGCAACTAAGCTACATCCTTAGTCCCTCCTTTTGAGTTTTGTATATGTATAAAATGATGCTTGGAATTAAATTACAGGAGTTCATGGTCCATCAACTGGACAATGGGGGGGGGGCTCTTTCACAGTTCAGGCCAACTAGGGTAAAGCATGGTCTTGTCTCCAAACATTACTTGAAATTCACCCAGCAACTCAGCTGCTCTAAGCAACCACTTTCTCAGCTATGGTGCCCAATAAACGCCCTCTCAAGAAACTAGCAAGGTAGATTCACCATGTGACCATAAAGATAAAACCACAGACTCTCTGATATGTAAAAATGGTGTTCACGGAGATGGCTCAATCAGTACAATGAGAACCTGAGTTTAATCCCATGTAAAATGTGGGTGCTACAGCCTGTGTCTATAATCCCAACACTGAGGAGGCTCCTTAGGGCTTGCTGGTCAGCCAGTCTAGCCAAATTAGGGAGCTCTGGGTTCTGTGAGGAAACCCTGCCTGAAAACATGATAGCTATCAACTCATGAAGACACCCCTTATCAACCTCTGACCGCCACCATGCAAACACACATGCAACCAGAAGCACAACTGCACAAACATCTACATATACATGAGGACACACAAATACATACTTCAGGACAATTTACAATTCCACAGTCCTACACCACACTACTGGTAGCCCTACACTGCATACATACTAAAGCACACAAACTTAAGACATAGAGATTAATGCATAAAACTTGAAGGTGTTTTATAATTCTCTGGACTGATCCAATCTTCTCTGTTACTTTTCTATTGCTTTGAAGAGAAACCATGACCATGGGCAATTTGTAGAAGGAAGACCTCATTGGGACTTGCAGTTTCAGAGGGTTAATTAGTCCATGACCATCCATCATGGCAGGGAGCATGGCAGCAAACAGGCATGGCACTGGAGCAGTAGCTGAGAGCTTGCATCTGATCCGCAAGCACGGACAAAAAAGTGAACTAAACTAACTAACTGGGAATGCTCTGGGCCTTTGAAACCTCAAAACCCACCTACAATGATACACAAACCTCAACAAGGCCACACTTCCTAAGCTTTTCTAAAAACATTTCCACCAACTGGGGAGCACGCATTCAAATACATGAGCCTATGGAGGCCATTCTTATTCAAACCACAACAATCTTGGATCAAAGACAATTGTTAGCACCCCAAGGATCCTGATAGTCCACCCTTATTGGATAGCAATTAGCCTCCATTTCCAATGCTCCCCAAAGGCCTTAGTGACTCTCTGGGCCTAGCAGAGTACCCAGCATTTACCCAAGAGCAAAACCAAAGTAATTTTTAAATTTCCTTTTATGGCCCAATACCATAAAAGGGGTAAAATGCCTTCCTTTTTCTTTCAGTAGTACTACCAAAATGGATTTCTCTGACCTGAGTAAGACGGTATCCTGGGGTAGATGGGAGCCTTACACCCCAAATCTCCCATGCCAGTCCCACAGGTGTGTGTGATTAAAGGCTTGAAAAGCTTTAGGGGGCCATTTTAATAAGTGGATCAAGTGAACTTCAACTTTCATCGTTGCACTAATTACCCAGGTGGGTGGTTCCATGAAAATCTGCAGCACACTTGGACACGAAATCCCTTTAAAAATAAAAGTGCCATCTACACTCAACACTCTTTCATTTCTTCTATGGTTCTTCTAGAAATGACTAATGGTAAATTACATAGAACCATCAAGACCTATTTGCTACCTTAAACTGACGCCTGGGGGACAAGGTGCTCACTCCTCCTCCATAGTCCTGTGTGCCCTCTTTCAAGTTAAACCAGGGACTAGCTCAGCGCACACACCAAAGCAGAACAGAAACAAACACTTGCACTAGCGTGAGGCTTAGATTTTGATTGGGGGGAGGGGAGCTTTTTTAGGTTTTGCTCCAAAACACTTCGTCGGAGCTGACCCTAACTGCGGAATTTACAGCGCAGAGGGCCCTGAGAACGCCGCCACTGAAAAAAAAAAAAAAAAAAAAAAAAAAAAACAAAAAAAAAAAAA